AGTAAATTATTAATTATGTCGAGAATTATTAGTATTAATCGCATAATTTATTAAATTTCAAGTCTAAGCCATGGAGAGAATGTTTGAATTATTATTTTGGAAACGAGATAAAATCGTAAGTCTAAGTCTCGAAAAATTATTTTTATCGAGTATTAGAAAAGTCGGGAATTTAGGGAACTTATTTAATTCCCGAACATGCCCAATTATTTTTATTTTGGCCCAACTATTTAACCGAGACCAATATTTTATTATTGGTCTATTTAACGGTATTTAATTTCTGAGCCAAGCCCTAGTAGGCCCAATTTCTATTCGAGAATTTTTAATTCGGCTCATTATAGTCAATTTTCAAATCCGAGCCCATTATTATTTAATTCGAACGACTAATTTAATTAGTCTGCATTTGATTAATTTAGTCGAGCATTTAAATTTCTAAGTTAATGTTCGATTTAATTGGGTCGAGTAGTATTTTATTTACCGACCATACGTTTATTTATTCGGTCTAAGTAGCAATTATTTTCGAGCCCGAGTCGATTTAAATATCGAGCCCAATAAAAAGCCCAACACACAAGAAACCCCTAGCTCACTAGTCCATCTATAAATAGAAGGCTACCATCTTCCTTAGCTCATTTTAACCACAAAAAGATGAGAACCTTATCCTCTTAGTCAAAGCTCAAAAACCTAGTCAAGTTACTATTCACCTTCTTCTTCACAAGCTTCATTCCTTCAAAACCTCCATATCCAAGCTTCAATCTCTAACCACCAGAAAATCCGGCCGACCACCACCACAACGCCGACGAGATCTTCCCGGCGAGCTCCCCACTGTGAGTTTTTCCCGTCGGCAACCCACAGCTCAGCCCGGAAACCCAACTTGCGCGTCGTCATCTTTCTCCACTCGAGCTTGCAACTTTGGCGAGCCACCATTCCCGGCATCCCGACCAAACGCCGTCGCAGTCAGTCCAGCTCGCCGTTCACGACGAGCCACGTCGAGCCGAAGCTGCAAGCCCGCTACCGAGCAGCTCACCTTCGCGTGTCCTCCGACCAAGCCACGACCACCAACTTATTGATCCGGCGAACTCGCCTTCACCGTCACGACGACGCCCATTCGCGCAACCCTGCTCCGCCGTCCGTACACAGCGGCGAGCGCGACCCTTCCACGCGCCACCACCATCGCAGCTTTCCGGCATCACTGTAGCAGTGCGTTTCCAAGCTCCTCTCGGCCTCAACCAGCGGCGAGCCATTCGCGAGCAGCTTCCCGGCGTTCCTGTAGCACGACCAGCAGCTCCATTTCTGTTTTTCCGACGAAACCAGCTTCTTCTCGCCGAAAAAAGCACGCAGCTCCGAAGACCCGGTTCCGACCCTACCAGCACCTTCGAACCGCGACTAGCTCCTCATATTCGAGCCTAACGCGCGAAAACCGTCCCGTTCAGCAGCCCAACAGCCGAATCCACAGCCCTCTACACTAGATCCCACCCGATCTTGCTTCTTCGATCCATTTCTCTAGCTGATCCACTTCTGATCTACACGATTTCAAACAATTTGAGGTATAATAGCGAAAACCTGACTTCAATGGCTCATACTTGATATTTAAAACGATATAAGATGTTGTGAGTTGTTGATTTGAGCGAAATTGGTTAAATCGAGATATTTGAGCTTGAAGCGAAATATCGAGATTTTTGGATAAATGTGATAAAATGTTGTAATAAATATGATTAAAATCGTCCCATTGACTTGAGGCTTAAGGTATAATCGGATTAATTTTTAGTGTCCATTTGATAAGCGAACTAGTAGTTGGAATGAGTTGACCGGTCGTAGTAATTTTGAGTTGAACATGATAAGTGTTGACTTGAGACTTTATGTTTTGACCTTGGCCTATATGCATATTGAGGAGGTTATATTTTAAGTTTTGTGATTTTTGGTGCCCGTTTACTATTTTGACCAGATTTGTTTAGTATGTAGTCGATATGCTCGGTTTTTTATAAAAATGCTAAAGGCCTCGAAATGCGTTGAAACTTTATGGAAAAATCTTATAAATTCTAATGTGATATGTTTGAAATTTCGTAATTTTTTGAGACTGTTTGGTATGCCTAAAAATTTGGGGCTTTAGCTGCTTTTATTGAAAATTATAGATATTATTCGGTTGAGAATTAAGCTGCAGTTGTTGGGCCTAAAATCACTAGAAATAACGTTGAACTTAGAGTTTAAGTTTCGACTTGAACCGAGATAGATAGTCGGTTGAGTAGAGAACCCTAGTTCGGCCTTTTCCAGGTAAGACCGGATGAACTCTAGATTCGAGTAGAAAAGTTGTGCGTCGGCTGATGTCGTGTTTGTGTGTATGTACCTGGACCACGGTTATGCCGATTTGCACCCAGTCAGACGAGCAACCGACTGGCTCAGATCGAGCCGCCTGTCCAGTTCAGCCGAATCAGTCCGGATAGTCTGGACGATTCGAGCGTATCAGTTCGGAATACCGGTTTGAGCGTGAATCGAGATTCAGTATTTTTTGGAACTCAGCCAGATAAGTCAGATCAGAATAAGATAGTTCAGATAAGATCAAATCATTCAGATAAGCTAATTCAAATAAAATTAGATCAGTCAGATAAGCTAGATCAGATAAATCAGTTAAGCAGATCAGACTTAGAAATATTTCAAAGAACTCTAGAATGCCTCAATGTCAACAAATCTGTCCAGAATAGCTCAAATCCTCTAAATCCAGATTAAATGATTTTATAATCGAGCGAGAGAACCTAGTAAGATCAGATAATAATGAGAATCAAGTTTTCAGTTTCAGCTTAGTACTTAGTACTTTCTGCTCAATAATTTGTGTAGCTTAAGGAGAGTCGAGCCTCCGACAGCTACCATTCAGCCAGCACGTGTATCAGTAGCAGTTTACCAGGTGGGGGTCACGTACTGGTTATACATCGTCTTTAATTTTCGTACCATGTCCGAGGTATGTATGACAAATAGTTAGTTCACCATTGAAGGAGGCCGTGGGGGGCCTTAATGATCCCCCGTGGTTCTGAGGGAGGCCTTAACAGGCCTTAATGATTCCCCGGAGTGTGCACATGATTTAGCGGCTTTAAGCCTAGGGTCTTTATGACCACTAGACGCCCAGTTACAGTTTCAGTTCAGTTCAGTACTTATATATACTCAAGTCATGATATTGTTATTAACGATGTTGTTTAATTCAGTATTGGTCTTTGCGGAGCATAGTGGTTTGCTCACGCCCCCATTACGCTTTTCAGGTGACGGAGCGGCGCGTGGCGTGTGAGCATCAGTGGCGCGTGGTCATGAGCAGGTGTTTTGTAACGCATTGTACATGTCATTCATATGAACATGTATTATTACTATTATGCGTGCATTCAGTATGAGACCTTCCGCATTTTTAGAACTAGCATGTTATTACATGAGACTTTAGACGTATGCATGTATAATTTCTCTATCTCCGTGTTACCTTTATATAACGGATTTGATTAGGTTGTATGTATTTATTTACGTCTGCATGAGAAATAGTTTAAGTTAGTAGCATCCCGCGAGTTAGTATGAGCATTTTCGAAAATAAAGTTAAAGAGTTTTTCAAAAATAAAAATAAAAAGCCAAAAATTTACTATGATTTTATTATTTCTAGAAAAAGTATGGGGGGTGTTACACTACCTATCCTCGTTGTTCCGAACCCCTTAAACTGTCTTTCAAACCGAAGGCTCTGACTCCTGTGATGCTCAACCACGACCACTCTGTGTCGATTCCGCTCGACTAGACAGTTTACTAGGCCTGCTCGACTGGTTCACTCTCTTAGAAAAGTATCCCATATCATAATTAATCACACATAAATACATGTTATGATACCAGGCATTTTCTTAACAATTAGACGAAATTGAATAAATCCTAAACATGTATTTCTATCCGTTCATAGAATACAAATCTTTGCATTAATTAATTTCACATACAACTTACGGAGTCCAACTTTTAGTCCTTCTCTACTCTTGATCTAAGTCTGTGCTCTCCAATGATGTGTTCATCTTTGCTTATGAATTGCTTTTCTCTCCCGCCACTCTCTTTCATAAAGCCTGATGTTGAGAGCTTTATTTTCCTATAAGCGGAGAGAGAGAGA